TGAACAGGCTCGTGGCGTTGCAAACGAAGACACTTTGCCAACACATTTTCTTAAGGAGGTTTCCTTCAAAACTCAGCTCAGCTTCAGTGGACAAATGTTTTAGATTCTGACAGGTTGTACACAGGTTAAAAAAAAAAAATCTCTGCTGAAAGACTACCTTCAGCGTTTCTGGAACGAACTTCCCTGTGTTGTTTCGTTAGGAGCAAAATTGCAGTTAATTGTCTAAGCTCCAGAGAATATTGAGAAGTCAAGCCAAGCTGCTTTTGATCTGCTGAACCCAAGCCTTGTAAACATCGAGGTTTGCCATTAATATCGACAATAAAACGGTTTCTTTTTGTTAACCTGAAACCCAGCCATCATGGCGAGCCCTCGTCTAGAAGCAAAGGCCCCGGAAGAAACTAGCAAGGGTTTGAAAGCAACTGCCAGGGCTAGAGAAATCTATCTCTGTGAATTTGCAAAGGAGGCTTCAGAACAGGAATGCGAGCCGCACTGCAGTTAGAACTGGGAAGGCACCGGGGCTTCCAGACACAAACAGACCCTTCAGTCACTTGAGTGGTTTGTCCGAAGCCCTGCACTTTAAGCTACCATTTGCTTTCATATTTTATCCTGAACCGCAGACTGTATTGCAGACTAGTTGAAGTCTATTCCTTACCATTTCCTTAGAGCGTGTATGCAAAATTACAATTACTTCCTCTTCTGCATGTTGCATGCTCTCCTCCCGGCTTGGAAGAAAATATTGCTTGTGTGTGTAGGTGATTTGATTGAAACAAGAATGTGAGTGAGTAGTTGACATAGATCCTGTGAGGTGTATTTTCTTACACCACTTCTGCTCTAAACTCCATCTATATTTTACTACAAAGTAGCGAAGATCAGATTTATCATACCTCTTAGGACCACCATAATGACACTAGTAACACTTCCCATGTATATATACATCATGCCACCCAGAGTGAGGCCCCTTCATGTGCATTATCTCTTGTTCCCTTCAGTCTGAGTAAGGATTTTAGCTTTACAGACACATGTGGCTACCTGGCAAAGGTTCCCCCTTATCAATAAAGACTCTCCAGAGCAGCAGCACATTTGCCAGTTAATATGAAGATCTAGTCATTGATTATTTGGAGAAAATGCAAATTCCCACCACCCATCATAGTGGACATTAAGATGTTTCTTGTACAGTGTACACCTTAATTATTGTACACAATGTTATATGTCAGTCATATTTCAATTTTTAAAATATTTTTCTAAAGGACTTTATTTAAGGATGAGCCAGTGTCTTATTCACCACTTTCAGGTTCTATGACACCAAAACCCCTATAAATCCAAACATTGCTGGAAGGCAAATTAGAAGCAAGGGAAGGAGAGAAAGGGGAAGGAGGTAGAGAGGGAAAGGAAGGTAGAAAGGGAGGAGAGAAGAGAGAAAGAGAGAGAGAGGGGCTAAATGCGGGGGGGGGGTGTTACAAGCACCCAGCAAGTTCCAATTTTCTCCACTGACTTAACTGTTTCCTGATCAACACAGAGCAATCAGCCCCTCCAGAGTCATCACTGCAACTGGATCAGCCCCTCCCCACCCTGTCGCCACAGATCTGTTCGGATGGGAAAGAGGAGGGACAAGGGCTCACTCACCAAATACCCCAGGCCCACCCCAAGATCCAACAAGAAAATGCTCACGAGAAATGAAACCTCCGAAGAGCCAAGGGTAGCTCTTCCTGCCCTTCGTTTCTGAAACAGACGTGAGTCCGATCAAACTTGATTCTGCTTTGTAGATGTGTACTTCGAGCACCACCACGTTTCTGGGGCCACCGTCACTCGCCAAAAGGTACACAAGAAAGGGAGGGACTACAAAACCCCAGTTAGGGGAGACTCTTGCTGCCACTTCAGACAATATGTCTGGTTCTAGATTGTCCTAGAGGTTCTGGGGCTAAGTGGCCAGCAGGTACAATGACTCAACCCCACCCTCTGACAGACAGAAATGCAGAGCAATTAAGGCGTCACAAGAAGCACATCCTTGGAGCAGGTGAGGCTGGGGTGACATCTTCAAGAACACACTGCTTTTGCTGCCACTCTCTGGGTTTCATGTTCTTTCTGGGCCTCTTAGCACGTTCTGGGGTTCACCTCACAGAAGAGCATTATAGATACTTGAAGGAATGCCCAGAGTCACTTCCACTACGTTGGTTAAGAAAATAAGGGAAAATGAGATTTGAAAGACGCTGAAGGGAATTGAGCCATAATTCCCGTAAACATAAAATGTGTGTTTATGGCCCTCTGGCCTGGTTATTTTCAGGTCCAGTTTATTTTGAGTTCTCATGAGCAAAACACAAGATACAAACTGCCCTTGCCTTTGAAATAATAAATACCTCGAAAAGATCTGTATTTTCCCTAAAAACAGACTGAAGTTTTTAAGAAAATATTTAGTTTAAACCAGATTTATTTTAAAAGTAATATCTCACAAGACCAGAACGTTTGCAAGGGAGTGTGCAACCATTCCCGTGCCCTTTGACTCCCTTTCAGGGGAAGGGGTAGGAGTGAGGGAAAAGAGACAGGAGACACGGGCCCAGAATAAATGTTGGACCCCAGTCCTGTCTGCTTAGCTGAAGGAGGCAGATGTAATGTGCAGCACAGTGGGTACACCATCAGCTACAAGGATCGCAAACATCATCCCCAGCCCCCTTCCTGTGAAGCAGTCTCCCCGCCTAGGTAAGACTGGTTGCAGCTCAGCTCAGGGCCTCAGAAAAGGGGAAGACGTTAGCACGCCCTCATCCTTGCAGGATTCCTCCTGCAGGCACCCCAGGCGGCCCCCAGCCCGCATCTTCTCAGCTGCTCAGTGGTCCTCAGCCTGAATCGTGTCACCTCCCCTGGAGTACTCGGAATGCATGCCCTTTGGGGAGCAGCACACCAGAGGCCACACTAGTACAGACCAGGATGGGGTCCCTGGGCTGATAACTAAGCCAGGAACTTCCCCCTCCTCCTTTACTTTTCCCACTTTCCCCTCCATCACCACCACTACCACCAGCTCCATCAGTAGCCCCTCAGAAGGCACAGGCCACCTAAACTGGGGGCAAACCTGAGACGGCATCTTTGCCTCACAGCTTTCCAAAGTAGCAGACTAATCCAGCATCCCACTAGACCCGGAGCAAAATGTCCCAAAGACAGCACTAACAGAAAAAAAGTGGACTTTGTTGTGCTTTCAGAGTGGAACTCAGCCAGTTAGGGACCCTAGAATTCTCCCATTTGTCCCCTGCCTCCAAGCCCCCTTTCTAGGGCTGTAGCCTCTGCATTTTGGCCTTCGGAGATTCATGAGGCCCTAGACCCTCGGATCACGTTAATTAACTGATAGTGACACGGTCAATGAGGACGGATGTTCAGATTAGCATCATTTATGACTGTTTTCTGTCCCATGTTGTCCATCTCTTCTATCACTTGCCAGGCTCTCTGGGACCACGAAGGGGTTCGTCCATCTTTTGTTTCAACGAAGAGAGCATGGGAAAGGCTGAAAGTGGCAAGTTCTGATGCCTTTCCCATGGAGGCCCCTCGCCTCTGGTGGACACTGCATCCCAGTCCCCTGCTCAGCCCTCTGCCTGGCCTCTTCCTCCTCCTTTCAATTCCCCAAACTCCCCCTGGCCTGAAAGCAGCTTGCATCTACTTTCCCTGCATTTTTATCCGTTCCCAGCCAGGGTGCAATCATCTTACTTTGTCTACCTGCTCCCAAGGCCTAGATGTGTTTTTATAAACAGACTTTTTAAAAATGTATCAAATATCAGAGGATTGAACTACCAGTATTTACACATTTAGGGTTGGCCTCCCCTGGTGAAAATGTAAACAGAACCCTGACCACACTACCTATATTCCTTCCTTGAAGAACAAGGTCTTTAAAAGACTCTCCTTGTGCTCAAAACTGCAGACCTACCCAAGGTGGCGGTTCGAAGCTATAGGTGGCTATTTTGTTCTGAGCCCCAAGGGCACTTACCAACCAGTCTGGTTTCAGCTACTCCCCACCTCCTGTCCTCTGCCTTAACACCTCTGCTGGGGGCATCCAGGGAAACTGACCTCTTGCTGAAGGGACTGAATGGGCCGTCATGAGGACTTCCCAGACTGGATTTCTACGATCCTCCCTGGGTTCCTTTCCCTCTCCTGCAGCCCAGCCACCTAAAACCTAAAACATGTTTCCCAAAGCTGTTGCCCAGGGCTCTGGGGTTAGTGGCTGGCGGCTGCCCCAATCCCTGGCAGCTCAGGAGTTGGGTACCCCCCAACCCCGCCCTCTATTCGTGCTGACCTGGCCTTCCATCCCGAACTGTGTACCCCGCAAAACGCAGGCAGCAGGCAAGAAAAGGACTGTGCTCGCTGAGTCCTTTGGATGGGACTCCCTTTGTGGCCTCGGGCCTGACTCCGCCTGCCTGCCAGAGACGACGCCCAAAGTAGTGTAGTTGGTCTCCTCTGGGCGACCCTCACCAGGCCCAGCGGCAAGTCCCAGGCTCAGCGCGGGCTCCTGCACACTCCGCGTGGGCTCCCTCTAATTTACGGCCCCGCGGGCTCCTGTAGACACCCTTTTCCACACCAACCCTTTGGGCGGAATCCTCAGCTACACATCAGCCTCCCCTTGCGGCTCCTGGCCAAGCCCCGGGGATCATTTCAGTTCCTGCCACCGTCCACCACCACCACCACCCACCCCCCGCAACATCCTGCGAGCTTTCTGGAGACGCTCACGCCGCTCGGGGCACCGCGGCCCCGGTACCCTGCGGCCAGGTGACTTACAAGTGGAGATCCATTTTCGGTTATAATGCGTTCAAGATCACCAAGGCCAGCAGTCTAAACATCCACGAGCCGTCCTCCCGGCCTGCCTCTTAAACTGGTGTTTAATGGTTCCCCTCCGATAACTAAACCTGCTTTCCACAGATGCCCGCTTTTATGGGAGAGGCAGGAATGCCGAGATGTATTTATATGTTTGTTCATAAAAATTGGAAAATAAGCTCAGAACACGCTGTAAAAAATATTCAGTTACTTACCAGACAGGCTAGTTAAACCAGGGGAACACCGATACCGGCCACACAACAAATTCGGGGAATCGAGGTGTCTGCGCTTTGAAATAGCTCAAGGTCTTCCTTCGCTGGGGCTGGTGTCCCTGAAGAACATGGAAGTAAGAGTATTTATAATCGGCTTGGCCGTCGGTCCCGGGGTCTCCACCATGATCTCCAAAAGCAGCCACAATAACATGAGCTACCCAAGACGGCCCTGGCCTGGGTAACGTGATGGTGGGTAAGTCCATAGACGCTGAGGCGGGCGTTTCCAGACCGTGCCCAGGTCAAAGCCGCAGCCGTGCCCCGCCGCGCCCCGCGCCCCGGGCCCCGGGCCCCGCGCCCGCCTGGGCTGGAGACGCGCCTCCGTGGGGACCGCCCGCCGCCTCTGCTCCCGGCCCCGCACGGAACTGCGCCCGCTGCCTTCTGGCTTTCTTGCCTCGGTTACCTACAAAATACTTCGAAAAGCAATATCTGCTTCCTTTTTTTTTTTTTTTCCAGAAAAGAAAGCGGAGTGATACCGTACCTGGTTTAAGATTCTTCGATATTTGAGACTTGGGGGGAAAATATTTTAATAGTGAAGCATCTGTTAAACACTTGCATTAACCTCCGGCTGATAAAAAAGTTTTTTTAACCCTCCCCCCCCTCGTTTTAATTATCTTCTGGTTATGAAGGGGCAACCAATCCTGGATGAGGACCTCGGCAATTAGCAAGGAGAACATCAAAAAGTTTTATTGCAGAGAGCGCGAGGCGCCGCCCCCGCCGCCCCGGGATTGGCGTGAGGAGCCTCTGACGACATATATTAACCCGAGCGGCCCTAAAGATGTAGCTGTACATGGAGATCTTGCTGGGAAAATCCTCTTGCTCCCCTCACGGTGTCCAGTCCCGGAGAACCGCCGCCGCCGCCGCCCGGGAGCTCCCAAGGCCGCCGCGCAGACCCCTCCGAGCCCCAGCCGCCGCCTTCGCGCTCCAGGGCGCCTGCAGGGCCCAGATCCTTTCCCCCGAAAGAAGGAGAGGATCTGAGAAAATGGATGCACTGAGACCTCTCTGAAAACCCTCCGAGGGAGCCCGAGAGGAGCGCGGGACACGTTACTCGCAGCTAAAATCACATTCAAGGACCAAAACAACAACAACCAAAAATTTCATTAAAACAATAAGCGCCCAAGAACCCAGATCAGGCTGGTGGGGGGAGGGGAAAGGGCGGGAAGGGGAGGGTCGCATGGAGGTAGCTTCACAGTGAGCAGTCGACCCCGCCGGCTCCTCCAGCCGCGGCTTGGACTCGCCCCGGGACTCCGAGTAGCAGCGGCGCCGGGCGCGCGGCCGGGGCGCGGAGCCCGGCGACTCCTCCGAGCAGCCCAGCCGGAGCCCGGGCACCTTTGCATGAGCACGAGAAGACTGTGCCTGCCCGCAGACGCCCGGGAAGCAGAAGCCCGCGAGCGGGCCGTGGAGCGAGGCGGGAGCCGGCGGCGGCGGCGGCTGCCAGGGGCGCACGGTGCCGGGACCACCTCGCCGCGCCCTATGGGGAGCCGGCGGCCGCGGCGCTGCTGAGGCGGGCCCCGCGGGCCAGGCGGGGGGCCGGGGCCCGGGCTGCAGCAGCCCCCTCTGCGGCTGCCGGGCCGGCCGGGGCGCCCGGGGGCTGGGGGCTGGGGGGTGGGGGAGGCCGCCGAGCGCCGGAGCGGGGGCCCGGGCCGAGGGCGCGGCGGGACTGTGCGCACGCTGGGGCGCGTGGAGGGGCGCGGAGGGCGAGATGAGTCTGGTGGGGGGCTTCCCCCACCACCCGGTGGTGCACCATGAGGGCTATCCGTTCGCCGCCGCCGCCGCCGCCGCCGCCGCCGCCGCCGCCAGCCGCTGCAGCCACGAGGAGAACCCCTACTTCCATGGCTGGCTCATCGGCCACCCCGAGATGTCGCCCCCCGACTACAGCATGGCCCTGTCCTACAGCCCCGAGTACGCCAGCGGCGCCGCCGGTCTGGACCACTCCCATTACGGGGGGGTGCCGCCGGGCGCCGGGCCCCCGGGCCTGGGGGGGCCGCGCCCGGTGAAGCGCCGGGGCACCGCCAACCGCAAGGAGCGGCGCAGGACTCAGAGCATCAACAGCGCCTTCGCTGAACTGCGCGAGTGCATCCCCAACGTGCCCGCCGACACCAAACTCTCCAAGATCAAGACGCTGCGCCTGGCCACCAGCTACATCGCCTACCTCATGGACCTGCTGGCCAAGGACGACCAGAACGGCGAGGCGGAGGCCTTCAAGGCGGAGATCAAGAAGACAGATGTGAAAGAAGAGAAGAGGAAGAAGGAACTGGTCAGTACCAGGGGGCAGCGGGCAGTGGGGTACGGGGGACCGGGAATTCCGGTCTCTTTAAAGTTGGGCTGAGCAATGGCACTCCGCGTTCTTTGGCTGCGTCTTGAGCCAAGGTTGCTTGCACCAGGTTCTGGTCGGGATGGTTTCCCGCAGAAGCGGAGGGGGTGGGGGAGGGTGTCAGCACGCGGAGGAGGTTAAGAGGGATGCTTCGCGCTGGTGATCTTACCCGCGGGTTATCGCCGCTCCCCCCGGCACTCAGGGCGGGCCTCGCGGACTCAGGGTCCGGCTTGATCTCCCGATCGCACTGGCCCGGACCCCTCATTCCCTGTCCTGTAGAGCCTTCATTTGGCCTCCAATCCGATCTTGCTTTCAGATATTTCTAAAATAAGTTGCTCAGAAGCGCTTGATGCTAATTATTTCACTAGTGATCGCATTTCCCCCTCTTGAGAATGAGGCAGCCACTGATCCTAAGAATTTTATGCTTGTTCTGATTTCTGTGCCGGGAAGACGTCAAGGTAAACATAAAATAAGTACTTTTAACTTCAAAATGCAGTTTCTCTTTGGCAGTGAGACTAAAATGTGACTTCCCGGATGAGTATACTTCACCGTATTTCTTGTTTAGTTTGCATGAGCCTGTACATTTTAAGACAAATAGTAAATATTACCTTGGTCACTGTAATTGTTGTTAACAGTAACAGGAAATTATAACTGAAAATTAGTTTTCTCAAGTTCCTACCAGGTGCCCAGAGGGTAGTGGTGTTCAGAGCAAGGCTATTGCCACGAAGGGCCTGGAAAATTATCGCATTTGTCGAGGTTTTCTTCTTTGGGGCCTATGGCGCTTTAGTCGCTACACAGTCGAGTGATCCCGAGTAACCGGGGATTTCAGAGGCCTTGGAAGGAGAGGCATTGCCGAACCGAGCTGGAGGCCGAGCTGCATGCGGACAGGCCCAGGCCAAGGCAGGGGCACCTCACCCCATCTTCCCTAGAGCGCGAAGCTGGGGCTGCGATGACCCCCGCTCGCGCCCCTACATCTGGATTTAGAGAGAAGGCCCCCGGTTCCTCCATAAACGACATGAAAACGGGTGGTTGTTTATAAACCTGCCGATCGGGAGTTGAGCGCGGCCGGCGTCTGGAGGCCCGGGCGGGAGCTAGGGCAGCGGCCAGCCTCCGTAGCTCTTCTGCCGGGGCTGGGACTTGAAAGCATCCCACACGTCATCCCTGGCTGGCTCTCTTAGTCTCTCTTCTGGCCGGAAAAAGCGTGGGGGTGGCGTGGAACCGGGTCTCCTCTCTGATTCTTTCTCTTTTTCTCCCCCTCGCCTCCCCTCTGCCCAGAACGAAATCTTGAAAAGCACAGTAAGCAGCAACGACAAGAAAACCAAAGGCCGCACGGGCTGGCCGCAGCACGTCTGGGCCCTAGAGCTCAAGCAGTGAGAAGGAGGAGGGAGAGGATAGAGGAGGAGGAGGAGAAGAAGGAGAAGAAGAGGAGGAGAGTGCGAGCCGGGCCCAGGAGCCGGATGCAGACCCAGGACTCCGGGCAAGCTCCGCGCGCTCCGCTCTGAGGACTTCCTGCATTTGGATCATCCGGTTTATTTATGTGCAATGTGCCTCCCTCTCTTTGCCCCCCTTCGAGGCATCCGCTCCCCACCTTCCCCTCCAAAAACAAAGTGGATATTTGAAGAAAAGCATTCCATATTTTAATATGAAGAGGACACTCCCGCGTGGTAAGGGATCCCGGCGTCTCGTAGATTCTCTGTTTGTGAATGTTTCCTCCTGGCTGTGTAGACACCAGCGGTGCCCTCTCCCCAACCCCTTCCAGATAAAGACAGCGGACAATAGTGTGTATGTGAAGTGTATCTTTAATACTTGGCCTTCGGATATAAATATTCCTGGGGATTATAAAGTTTTATTTCAAAGCAGAAAACGGGGCCGCTAACATTTCCGTTGGGGTCGGTACCTAGTGCTGCCGTTTCATCTGTGGTGGTTCCCTATGTGAAGATGTTTCCAACAGCTACTTGTTTTGTGCACTTCCGTCCTCTAAAACTAAGTGGAATTTAATTAATATTGAAGGTGTAAACGTTGTAAGTATTCAATAAACCACTGTGTGTTTTTTTTTTACAAAACCCCAATCTTTTAATGGTGGATACCTCAAAAGAGTTTTGAAAACAAAACTGTTATACTTGTTTTCATTATATTTAAAATATTCAGAAGTAAACTAAATTATCATGATTGCCTCTAACTTTGTTTGATAGAGTCAGTGGTTCGGACCAGTCATCAACGTGAGCTCCCGGCCTCGCAGGGCTGGCGAGGAGGCCCTTTAAAGAGAAGTGTTCTTGGTGAAAATCCTGCCAAAGGGCCTGGGCGCCATCAAGTCCTGCCTCCCTTCCCTCTGCCCCTGGCCCCCAGGAGAGCACTGAGTGGGCTGTGGAAGGAGGGTCTGGCCGGAAAGAGGCCTGGGTGGTTTGCTCAGAAGGTGGAAAGGTGTCCTTCTTTTCCTGAAATCAACCAGATGCCATTGGTGGTGGTGGTGGGGCTTTTGTTTGAGGAGCCATTTTCGGTTGAAGTCGTTTTGGGGAGAAACCCACGCGTTACTGCAGCCGCAGGAACTAGTCTAGAGTTTTTAATTCAAAATATAGGGCTTTCATCCAAGAAAGGGAAGAAAAGACCAGGAGAAAGGAGGTTTTGGCTGGTCATCTCGATGGGGGGGGTAGGTGGGGAGAGGGGGGACTGGTCTGAGCAGGCCGGGGAAGGGGGAGGCCCTTCGGGGGGAGAAAGTCCGTGATTAGGTAACCAGGAATTCTACGTCAAGTAAGAAATCGCGAACGCGACCGAAGATTTAAAGGGAGAGGGAGGGTGGAGTGGGCGCTAGATTTACAAGGAGCTATAGGGAACTCAATATTAACTGTGCAGTGTCTGAAGTCCTCCCGGCCGCAGGCCAGGCCAGCCCGGGGCTCCGTCCCCAGCTCTCAGCCGCCAGGACTCCCCCCCGACCGCCGTCGGAGGTTCGGGCTCCGGGAGCCCAGGCACATCCCGGAAGGAAGTCCCCGAGGCTTCCTTTGCCCGTGGGCTTGGCCAGAGCGGAATCTCTGCTCTAAGAGTCGGAGAAGCTGGAGTGCCGGAAAGGGCTCGGCAGGCCGGGGAGGGGGAGCGGAGGGAGGGATGGGGGGGGAGCGGGGGGGGGGAGGGGGGGAGCGGAGGGAGGGATGGGGGGTGCGGAGGGGGGAGGAAGAAGGGCGAAACTTATTAAAAAGCGGTTTGCTTCAGGAAACGCCGCGTGTACAGATCTGGGGCTAGGGAGGCTGGCCAGAGGGTTTCCACCTTGGAACCCATCCTCGGGGTGATGTTCTCACCTCGGCCTCGGGCACGGACCCTGCCCCGCCATCCCAGGGGTCCCACTCTGGCGGGTGCCGCCTCTGAGCCCACCGCCGGCAGCCGGCGAATTCGCTAGCGCCGGGCGGGAGGCGGGCGAGCGGCGCTGCGGGGTTCTGCTGCGGGCGGCCGCCGACTCGAGGGCGCGGGGTTAGAACAACTCGGCCAAAGCGATCTGAACTTTCTCCCCTCGGGTCAGCCGGCGCTGGGCCGACATGGTGGGCGCGGGGCTGTGTTTACAGACACTTGCCTTTGTTTATAACGCTGGGGGGCGGAGGGAGGCGCGCCCTGATTTTCTGTGACTCTCGGGATCCCTGTCCGTTTGACCGAGGGGCTCCCTCCCTCTCCCGCCTCCAGCCGCCTTTTACTTTAATCCGTTCAAGAGAAAGAAAGATTCCAGATCCTAGGGGCGGAGGGATAGAGTTTACCGAGGTAGTGGCGTGCACGGTGGTGGAGGCGGTGAGGTTTTCAAAACAGGAGCCCCAGAGCAGTTATCTTCACGTGCCTGTGTTGGCTGGTGCGGGCCTGGCTTGGCTGTGGTCTTCCTCGCCACCTGGGCCTTAACGCATTGCTGCCGCTTTAACACTTTTTCTGGTTTGTTAAGCACCAGCAGAAGGGAACCAGAAGACCCTGGCAGCACCGTTGCTACGAGGCCGCCGGCTGCTGCACATGCTTTTAAACCTGCGCTCCAGAAACGCGGGCTGGCCTCTTTGTCTGGCCTGGGCCCTGCGCGGCCCGCCCGCTCTCCTGCCCGCCCGCCGCGCCGCTTCCTTCGGCTCCGCAGCACCCAGCCCCGACACCTCCACCACCTGGACGTTCCAACCCAGCGGCCACCTCAACGGGCCAGACATCCGGCAGACCCGACACGCCAGGGTGCCGAACCCCCTAACTGGGCGAGCGCACTACCCGGCCGAACGCTTCAGCAGCAAGACACCCCAGATTGTCGGTCACTCCCGCCGCCGCACGTCCCCACCCTCCCAGTGCCACCCCACCTCCCGCCCCACGTCGTCATGTCCCACCCAGGGCACTGAGTGGTGGGCGAGGCAGGCGTTTCTTCCACGCTTCCATGCTTTTCTCTTCTACACGTTTCCTTCTCTTTTAACTCCCTTTCTTCTTTGCTTTAAAAAAAAAACAAGTTTCCAAGCTCCTGCCTTGTGGGACCGGCTAAAAGGCCTCTGTTTTAATTGCTCGGATAATGCGGTTGCTGCCATTTTGTTAAAAGCAATCACTCCTGCAGCGAAATCACAAGCTCTCTAGACAGGCCGGAGCCGACAAAAATGCAGGATTTGACGTTAAAAGCTAAATGGGAAGCTGGGGCGGCGGAAGGTAAATTGATGGTGGATCTGGTTGTCAGGGCCCGGCCCCAGACCGCCGCGCGGGCCGAGAGCCTGATAACCCTGGAGCACCGGCGGGGCGAGGGCTCGCCGCCGTGTGTGTGTGTGTGTGTGTGTGTGTGTGTGTGTGTGTGTGTGTTCGTGTTCCAACAGACCCATTCTCACCTTCTTGGGAAGTAATTTGGGAAACTCCACAGAGGGAGACCCGAGCACTCCCTGCTCCCAACCCCAATTTTCCAGGACTTTTCGCCCCCCCCCAGGCAGGACACTTACTGTGGCTTTCAGAGTTGTTTTGGGTTTTTTTTCTTTTTGTCTTTTTTTTTTTTTCAGGTCGACGTGCCAAGGAGATGACAGCAAGATCACTTGGAGTTCTTCTTGCCTTCTAAATCCCGGGGCCACACTCTGGGGGCACGGTGGGAAGCTCCATCCTCCCAGTCGGTTAGCCAGTAGGTGCAGGCATCTAGGAAAGGTGGGCCTCTCACCTAGGCTGCCCTCCTCAGGGGCGGCAGGACCAGGCGTCCTGGTCGTCTTCGCGGTGAGGTGAGTGCAGCAGTGGCGCCAGGGACGACAACCTTCGGGCCCCTTGGAAACCGAGTGTGCAAGAGTCGGGACAGGAGGGCGGCTGCATCCCTGCCCCCTCACCTGGGCCGCTGCTGGCCGCCGTCCGGGGCTGGTATCCCACACCCCGTTGTGAAGGTGGCAAGAGGAGTGAGTTGCGTGCACGCGGATTTCGCAGGAAGGGGGGCTGCGGGTGAGAGTGATCTCGAGGCAAAGCCACAGGCAGCCGGAGGAGGCCTGCGAGCTGCTTCCGAGACTAGTTTTGCAGCGAGAGCCCGAGCCGGCTGCGAGGGCCTCAGGTGTGTGTGCGGGGGGCCGTAAACTGGGCACAGGATGCCACAACAGCCGGCACTGCATCTGTACAGCGGCTCTACAGAGCGTAGGAAACGGCTCAGCTCTTCCTGTAGCTTTAAGGAAACTGCGCGTCTCCCGCTGCGCGTGTGGCCGGCGGTTTTCTCCCCCACGGCTGCCCTGCGTGCTCCCTGCCCGCGAGTCCCACCCACGCGCCTGGATTTGGAGACCAGACTGGTGGTAGGTGCCAAGCGGAGACGATGAGGAAAGGAGGCTTGGGGCGTGTGCCCCGGGGAGGGCTGCATCTGGACCCTAGGCGCCGCCTGTCTCTTCCGGATCTGTTGACCTGAGGGGACCCTTATCGTTCGACCGGGCCTGACTCCTCGGGCCTGTGGGAGCCTGCGCATCCCTCGGAGTCAGAGACCCTGGAGCAGCCCCGAGGCCCCAGAAGCCCTCTTCCCCGGAAGCCCAGTTATGCTGTCGGGTTTACGTCCACGGGGGGATGGGGGACCAAGTGTTGTTTAACGGTTTGCCAAGAGAGGAGGGGAGAGGGGCAACTCCAGGAGAGGAACCCATCCCACGTTTGGGGGCGGACGGCTGGAAGCAGGCACTGCCCGCAGCGGGTCCGCGGGTGCCGCGCGGCCAGACTCAGCTCCCCGGCGGCGGCCGGTCGGCTGGTGACGGTCCAGGGGCGCGGGGCACTGACTCACAAGCGCACCGACGAGCCTCCTCTCCTGTCCCCGCCACCCTGCCCAAGCCAGCTCCCTGCTGGAGCGCGCCCCCCGCCTCTCCCCAGAACCGACCCCCCCTACACACGCATTCCCTTCCAATTCTCCCGGCAGTTGGGCCGCTTTGATGATCAGATGGTAGAGCCCTGATTACAAATTTATTCCCGGCCGCTCCGTCCGTCTTTATCTCCGCTATTAGGGCCATCTGGGAGTGATTAGCGCCGCGCCCGCGCCCGGCCGCGCTGCCTATCTCGCCGCGGCGGGGCCGGAGCCTGGCTGACGTCAGGGCAGACGGCTCGGAGCCATCCCAGCCGAGCTGGGTGTAATCGGCGACCGCGCGGCCAAGTCCTCCCGGGCCAGGCCGGCAGCTGGAACGCGCCGCCCGCCTGCGCGCGGGGACTTTCTCAATATGTATTTTTAGTCCAGAAGACGTTTTGTTTTCCTTGTTGGAGGTGAGGTGTGGCCGGGGAACGTCCCTACGGGCCCCCTCCCCACTTTAAGTTTTCCAACTCACTGCATCTGGTGAATCCGGC